ATGTGAAGAAAGAGTACTGAGGTGTTGATGAAGGCGTGTGAGAAGTGGTGATGAGGTGTTATGAGGTGTGAGGTGAGTCGGCGATCGTAGCGAGCCGGAGCGCCTCGGGAGATGTGCCGGCAAGATGCTCCCGGCGGAGTGAGGCTCGGTCTGAGGGAGTATGGTTTAGGTGCCATATGCATAGTTGTGATATATTTATTGAGGTGTGATGTTCCATAGAGAGGATGTGATACGGGTGGGTGATGTAACATAACGGGGGAGGGGGGGGGGTCGAAAGTAGGGACTTGGTGAAAGATCAGGGGCCCTCAGGGGGGGAAGCTTGGAGGAGGGGACTTAGTCGAAAAATCTGGCCTCCGGAAGCCAGATATTGGTGACATCCCAAATATTCCAAGTATCGTACTATTGTAGGCGCGATGACATGGTCGGCCGACCATAATCATACCCTACTTTCCGCCTGTTCAGTATATGCAGGTGGTGTGACCACAGGTGGGAATGCGTGTCTTTAGAAAATTTTATTTGGTTGTGGACAGAACTGCTTCCAGGGAGGGTCCTGCAGAGCCCGCCCATAAACATATGCCATATGCGCCACCCATTTTCTATCGCATCTACAGGCGTCTGTGGCGTAAAAATAAACAGAAGGGCAACTCGTGATACATACAAAATAATCTTTTTCACCGCCATGGTAGAAAAGTCAGATGGAACCGGGGTTTCAGTTTACCCTCCAGCCAGCACCACTTCTTTATAAATTATAGCCTTTCCACTGATCTCAAACATCAACTGCAACTACTCTTCCACCCTTCCCCCGTATCCTCCTTGGACACCATGAACCTCACCATATCAACACTTCTAGTTTTCTTAGCTGGTGTTTGCAAGTTCACAATTGAGTGTCCCCAGCAGATGTCGGATGCTTGTGCGACTTCCGATGGGACCCTTTGTGAGTATATTTTTCTTCTTCCCAAGTCAGGACTGCACAAGTTGACCAGACCAAAAATTTCTCTGTCCTATCAATGGGGTTTGCAAGACCCAGCGCCGCCAAATAATCTTGATTGTCACATAACTTCGAGCGAAATCCACTACTGTTGTCCTTCCGACAATTTGCCAGTAAGTCAGACTCCTACTCTGCTTGATCACACCACATAGCTCAGGGTTTGAACTCATTGTCTTTTTGACCTCAGCCAACATCATCTGGTGTTCCGCTGAACGACGCAACCCAATATCTGGGTTGCGTCAAATCGTGACCGCTCGGCTGATCTTTCAAAACCGTGGAGCCAAAAGGTTTATCTGAAGAACCTCGCTTGAATCCAACGACTTAAACTAGTTGCTTTAGACTGGTATCAGCCCGATTTGAAATATCTGATTGCTTCTCCAACGTTGTTTTGCAATCATATGTTCTTCCTTCAAGCGTT